CGCAGGAATCAATGCCAAGGCTGCCGTGCCGGTCAGCCTCCATTGATGCCTCACGGGCGGGCAGTGAAGGCGCCGCGACGCGCGTCCCGCCCGCTCCTGCCACGCGTCACCCGGCATGCAGATTCTCACCGCCCCGCTTCGGCTATAAAAGCCGACCTCCCCGCCGGTGAACGCCACAGTCGCCACAACTCGCCTTCTCTCTCACCTCGTCTCACCACAGAAGCAACTCTCCCCCCCTTCCCCGCCAACGAGCAATGGCTGAGCGGTACCTCGGCGACACCGCGGCGGCAAACGGCTTCGGTCGCCGCCATCTCCACGAGGACGAGGCGCGCCTCCTCTACGAGGTCGACTATCCGGCGCCCCCAGACATGTGGATGCAGGGCTCGTGAAGGTTGAGCGCCAGCGGCGTCCCGGTACCCCCGGTGCCCACAGGGGCTGAACGGCGGGCCGAGATCACCTGCATCCGTTCGTTGCTGTCGGAGGAGCAGCGGAACGAGCCGAGGTACGCCGCCGACAGCCACTAGCTGTGGATGATGTACTTCGACTGCCGCTGTGAAGAGCAAATCGTCTCCGCCAACGGCACCATCCTCTGCGGCCAACTCAACGCCGACGGGCGGCGCGAATGGTGGGGCGTGCCCGGCCGCACCCTCGAGGCCGTCCTCGATCACATCGAGACCGGCAACACGCCGCGCCTCGAGTACCCGGCGCGCCCGTCCTTCTCTCGCCGATGTGGCAGCTCCTGAACGTCGCGGCGAATGGAGGCGGCGACCTCCTCGTCGTCGGGCTTTTCGCTATCGTTTGGGTCGCCGGCGCTTCGCCTCGTCAAGCCAGAGCCGCAGGAGACGCCGCTTGGGCGCCGCACCCGCAGCAGCGCCCTCGTCATCAACGAGGGCGGCCGCCCCTCCCCGCGTTCCCTCCGCCTAGTCCGGCCGAAGACCAAGCCGGGGTTGCTCCCCGTCAAGAAGGAGCACGCAGAGATGGCCGCCGCCGACGACAACACCGTCCTCAAGTGGGCGAAGGCGGATTACGTCCGCGAGCAGGTGGCGCGCCAGCGCCGGGCCTACGAGGAGATCAAGGCCCGGCGCCACGGTCGCGAGGAGGGTGGCGTCGTCGTCCTCGACAGCGACGAGGAGGACGCGCCCGGGCCGTCCAACCCCCCGCGCGTCAACGACCCTGGTCAGGGGTGCAACAAGGACGGTGGCGGCTCCGGCTGGACGCAGGGCGGCGGCGACGACGACGCAGGCTCCTCGGCATGTAGAAGGCGGGCGGCAGTAGTAGGGCTAGGCGTACAAATTTGAATAAAAATCACCAAGTTTGTGCCGAATTCGAATCAAATCGCCGAGTTTGCGCCGAGTTGGGGGCGACCTAGGGGTGACGACTGGGAACGCAATCGCCCCCACGCCGAAAGTAAGCGCTGGTTCGACCCTAGACGACGCTTTTTCGACGTCCTGGGGGGTGAACTGCTGGAGATGCTCTTAGGTCGTTTCTCTTTGGGGCTGGGTTCAGATCTTGCATGCAGTGGTTTGTTCTTCCTTTTTGCCTTGTGTAGTTGTGTTGTATCTGTTGCACTAGTCTAGGTTGGGTTTGGCTGTATTTTGCTCAAGGGATGTCGTCTTCCATGTTGATGATCCTCGTGGCGTTTAGGCCGGGCGTTGTTATTGGTTGCGCCTTCTTTGACATCGTATCATTTTTTTCTCTTAATGAATATACATGCAGCTCTCCTGCATGGTTTGAATGATAATGCCTTCCCATGGGTATCATGCATGGATACAAAAACTTGGACTCCAAGTTCAGGACATGTAAAAAATAAGTGGGAGACAAGGTAATGGCTGACAGGCACGTTATTATTACAAGTGCAAAGGGAGAAGAAAATAACATCAATTCGAGTCTGAAATTGCTTTCACATCCACTGTCATATCATATTCATGTCCTTCAGCTAGCTCTGGAGCTCCCACAAGATGTGGCTCCATTTATCTTCAGTAATTTTCTACTACGTAGAAGATAAAAACGAACACAAGTTATCACAACATTAAAAAGGTCACTACAAAGATTCCCTTGGAAAGATTGACGAAGAAATATTGTGTTTGCAGACAGAAAGAAAAATGGGCCTAACTTATTACACCATTGCGAAAGATTACAATTGCTCACGGTCACTTCACTTCATTCAAGAGAGTGGATTCACAAAATAATACTCCCTCCGTCCGAAAATACTTGTCATCAAAATGGATAAAAAGAGATGTATCTAGAACTAAAATACGTCTAGATACATCCCCTTTTATCCATTTTGATGACAAGTATTTCCGGACGGAGGGAGTAAAATACAGTAGTCCCTCTGTTCACTTTTATAAGGCTTTGTAGACGTTTTCGACATTGTGCAAAACAGCTCAATTTCACTTGTCTAAAACGACTTATAAAAGTGAACGGAGGGAGTAACATATTTAATCCTATAAGATCCCTGTGGACTAGATCATGCTCATTGTTGCAGCACAAAAACATAACTGAAACTATCTTAGTTCAGCGCCCATCAGGATGCTATAATCATGAAACAAAATAGTCCGTGACCCATGATCGAGCATACAGCAGTGAGCAAAACTGCATCAGCCATCCAAACAAAAACTGGAGGCACAGTGCCAGCTGGGAGGATCAGGAGGACAAGCATGAACATATTGGTACATCATCAGGAGGCCCTTCCAAGAATCTGTGCAGTGGATATCAAACATACTGGTACGGTTATATAGCACGGAACTGAGGGAGCATATTAACATATGTTCACTCAGGTTCAGAGGTAGCAAACTAGATTACTGAATACGAAATTTGACACGGCCAAGGGATACTTTAATCTAGAATCAGGGCGATTTAGCTCAAACCGGTAGGAAATATAACGAGCCAGGAACCATTTGGTGAGAAAAACAGACAGTGGGAATATTGCACGACACTGAATCGGCGTACTAAACATCGAACATACTGCCACTATTATGCAATTGGTCGATACACGGAACTGAAGACGAGCATACTGACATGTTGTTCGTTCAGGTTCGGATGCAGGAAAGAGATAATGTGTAAGAGTGCTAAACATCAGAACGATGTTGGACAGGCTAGATTTTCACAAGTTGGGATTGGAGGACAGTGTCACGTAAAAGGGAGAAAAAACAGGCAATGAGAAAGCACATGTCAGAGACCAGACAGGCAACATATTTTTCAATTGCTGATGAGAACGATACGGTAAAAAGAACTACAAAAAAAACTCTCCAAGACACTAGTAGCACACACATTTCCACTGGTAAGAAGGACCTAACAGGCGATGCATGGATTGCAGCCTATGCTCTCACCGCGGATGTGGCGGGCGAGCTGGATGTCCTTGGGCATGATGGTGATGTGCTTGGCGTGGATGGCGCAGAGGTTGGTGTCCTCAAGCAGCACCGTGAGGTAGGTCTCGGCAGCCTCGACTAGTATTTGGAATGCCTATTTTCCATGTGCTTTATCCTATGCAATTTATGGTTCACCAGACCACAGTAAAGTCTATTTTTCCACCAGTAGCAATATCTCTATCTTCTTGTCAGTTCATTTTTTCAACGCAGGTTTTTTTGTTATGTCAGTCTGTAGCAAGCTAACATCCCCCTGTTCTTTTGTGACAAAGAATTTTTCATCAGCTTCAACTTCCTATGGTTATTTTTTCTTGTCATTTTTCATTTCCTACTAGTCTCAAGTGGCGCTAGATAGCTGCAGAGTTAAAAACATCGCCCTAGCTGCTGTTGGATCGGTTCTTTTAACAAATCTATCTTCTTATGCATGCCTGATACTCTAGTACTCAAGTCTGAACTTTCAATTCTATAGTACTGCTGATGTTGATTACAGTTCACATGCAGCATTTTTACTGCAAGATATCATGCTGCTAAGTGCTATCATGTCCCCTTTATGTGATTTATCATTGCAAGTTGGGATGTCCAATTATTTATCCTGCTGCTTCTATGGCCTAATGTGATAAGTTAGTTTCCATCACCTGATGTTATTACCGTGTTCTTCTTGTGGTGTATATCCTGGTGGGTTAGAAGTGTCATTTCATTGATTGTGTGCTCTGAAAAAAAATTACAGTGTTAGGGAATTAAATGATGGAGAAGCTGATGCAAATAAATCCAATGAGGAGAATAAGAAAACAGGGAAGAGGAAGGGAAAGACATAGGTACAAACATGAACACAGAATGCACTGGCTCCTATATAGTTTAACTACATTTACATTTCTTGTGCAAAGTCCTCACTAACAAGCATTTTTTGTTGGTCCAGGGAACAGCTACCTGGTACCCAGACATCTGAGTTAAGAAGGTTTGTCAATCTCAAGCAGTTTTTTTTTTAACTTTTGAGATGGGCAGAATACAGTACTGCAAGTTATAAAATGATGTTTATCTTGGCAACTTGGGCATTGACTTATGTTACACATTTTTTGTTGATTGTGGTTAAATGGTGAACATGCGGCATTCCTTCAATTTCATTTTCATGATCATAAGGGTACAGGATTATATAAGTACCTCTGAGACTCTGTTTAAAAAAACATTGGGTATTATTTGCATCTCTGAACTCTATCCTCTTTTTCAGATGTCTTGTACTAGCAGTGATAACAAAATAGAAAGGGGCATAATCACAATGCAAATTACGGTTTCTGAATTTTGGGTGATTTACCTTATCAATTTTCTTGCCAAAGAGAATCTAAAAATCCAAAGTTAAGGCTTCAGAAATCTGCAAGATTTTCAAACTACTTTTGATTTTCTTTATCTACACATGTATTTAAACCACCGAAGTTTGAGCCGATGCATATATGAATATGTTTATTCTGCAAAAGGTACTAGCTGAGACTTTCATGGTGGTATGCAATATGTCTCTTTCCAATTGTTTCAAGTCAGTATACAATTTTTACTGCATCAATAATCCTTTTTAGCAGTAAGAGTCAATATATATGGTCTCTAATCCTTCTCAATTGGAATAGTCCTACTGCGGCTGCGGAAGGCAATATAATATCCCAAGGTTACAATTTATTAATGTTCACCACAACAGTAAACCTACTGCTACCACAACGCTGTGTTTAACCCGTCATCTTTTCGGAATTCTTAAGTTGAGGAGCAGTCTACTGAAAAAAAAATCAAGCAGAGGGCAAATAAAGAAGAGGTGTTGTGAAGTCTGTATGTTATCGTGTAAGATAATAGTAGGAAGCATTTGAATTTAGGAAAAATTGGATGGCCAATAAAGCATCAAATTGAGGTCTTAAAAATCTCTTTGGACCAGTCTAATCCAAACATGCATTGACGGATGGGTATTTTTAAACCTTCCCTTCAAAAGAACATGTCTATCCACAGGATATTTTGAAACCAAGAAATTTTGGAAACATTTTCAGAGAGATATCTATCCAGTGGGATGGATAAACCAAACCGTTTGCTAAAATCAGGGAGACAGGCATTGATGTTTAAGATCAGACTGTTAACTTCCCGTACAGTCACTTCTCACTGATACAATGCAGTTGAGCTGCTTATTTACTTGTTATGATAGGACACATCTTACCTTTATACTCCTGAGTGTATCCAATCTTCAGCATACATATTCTACCTAAACATTGTATTTTTTCAGGGACAGCATGAGATTCCGACAATTCGTGGCCAGCGCTTTCGTGACGTTCTAGTGTCTGATCAGCCCCGGGAACGACCAACCTGTAGCAAGTTCACAGGAGATGCAGATGTAACATTTTCTCTGAACGTGGAAGCATAGTTTGTTAGGAATTGTGTGGGTGATGCGCCCATTATTATAACCATAGGTGGTAACACTAGTTTCAGATGAGGCATAACACATACACCATTGCAAGAAAGACAACGAGCTTTACAAAGCACTAGCATACGCATGGAGCCCAAAGAATTTATAGAAGCTCTCACAATTTTCAGTTTTCATGATAGGCAGTGGGGTGGTGATAGGCATATCGTTCTTTGACCCCTTCTTTGGCTTCTTTTTTAGCACCTTCTGTGTCAAGCGCTTCCAAGGATAAATTTAGTACTAGAAAACCACCTAAACATAAAAATAGTGGAAAAAACAACAATACAAATAGAGCATGTGAGTTGAAATAATAATTACCTAATGGCTTTATCTAGGACTGGTTCATCTTCTTTTTTGTAAGCAATTCATTCTTAAAAGATTGGATTAGTATTGAAGTGAAATTCAAGCTTGAAACCCTTTGGCTCACTAATTACGTACCATTTGATATCCCTAAAGTACTTTAGAGCTTCCTTGTCCCTATCAGATAATACATGTAAACAATAAACTACTCCCTCCGTTCCTAAATATTTGTCTTTCTAGAGATTTCAACAAGTGACTACATACGGAGCAAAATGAGTGAATCTACACTCTAAAATATGTCTATATACATTCGTATATGGTAGTCCATTTGAATCTCTAAAAAGACAAATATTTAGGAACGGAGGGAGTAGATGCCAACAGAATTATGTGTAAATGCATCTTAAGACATGTGTTAGAGCAGGAGATGTATCATTTCAGCATTAAATTACTGAAAATATCTTAATACACGCAAACATGTGTTCACCTTTCTGATCTGCAGCAGAAGCCTGCATCATCTTTAGTTACACCTTCTGCCTCAGCCACACCGTCAACTACATCATGACGCTGTCATTTGCAGGTGCAAGAAATCCATCAGATGGATCATGGCATGCGACATCAAATTTGATACAGTTGTGTTAAAGACAGTATGTACAGTATGAGCAGTGCACAATAAAAACATCTCTTGTCCTAATTTACCAGTCGTAGCATCATGGTACAGGTGAGAGTTGATTGCGGCAGTCACAGGGATCAAAAGGAGTTACAGGATAAAACAGCAAAAGGCTAAAACAACATAAAGCAGATGGACACACAGAACTGAACGAGCCAAGGTTGTTCATTCAGGTTCAGAGGCAATCAACAAGATTACTAGTGATTTACGAAATTTAATACAGCCAAGGCATCATTCAAGCTAAATACTTGGAAGCAACTTATTTAGGACAAAGAAGCTAAAACCGGCACAGTCACTTTCAGTTACTGATGACAGCAAGAAGGTGACATCAGATCAGACACACTACATCCACCACGGAACGAACAAACACTAGCACGCATACATTTCCAAGGCTGGACAAAGGCTAAGATGGACCTAAACACTCACGGCGCACAGATTGCGGCCTAGGCCCTCTCGCCACGGATGCGGCGGGCGAGCTGGATGTCCTTGGGCATGATGGTGACGCGCTTGGCGTGGATGGCGCAGAGGTTGGTGTCCTCGAAGAGCCCCACCAGGTACGCTTCGGCGGCCTCCTGCAGGGCGGAGACGGCGGAGGACTGGAAGCGGAGGTCGGTCTTGAAGTCCTGGGCGATCTCGCGGACGAGGCGCTGGAAGGGGAGTTTGCGGATGAGCAGCTCGGTGCTCTTCTGGTACTTGCGGATCTCGCGGAGCGCGACGGTGCCGGGGCGGAAGCGGTGGGGCTTCTTGACGCCGCCGGTGGCCGGGGCGGACTTGCGGGCGGCCTTGGTGGCCAGCTGCTTCCTCGGCGCCTTGCCGCCGGTGGACTTCCTCGCCGTCTGCTTGGTGCGGGCCATGTCGTCGGAGATGCGCCGGGAGGTTGAGGAGATTTGGGGGATTGGGAGGAATGGGGGTGATGAGGAAGAAGGGGACGGGGCGGCGTTAAATAGGAGGCGAGCGCCGAGCAGGTGCGTGAGTTTTTTTTTCGGGAGGGAGGATGAGCGTGGAGCGTTGGATGTGTGGTGCCTGGACGGTCGAGATCTGGTATCGAGGTAGTGATCCGTGGGATGGTGGTTCGCGTGCTGTGATTGGTTCGCTACGAATGAGGCGGATCGTGGAGGCGTATGGTGTTGGGCTGTTGGCCCGAGATGGAACGAAATGGTCGTGGAGCAAAGGCGCGGGTCATGTTTGCTCTGCTCTTTGCCGCCAACATCCCAAGCAAAAATCTACTCCTTGCTCCTATGTCGCCAAAAAAAAGGAGAATTAAAGAGGGGATATTTTTTGCGGGGAACTAAGAGCAACTCTAGCAGACCCCGCATCCCGCCGGCCCGCAAAACGCGTTTGCAGTTCACGCAAAACCACTTTTGCGGGCCGGCGCGGGCTGGCACAGACGCAGACCCCCAAACGGATCCGTAAAAAAAAATATTCGCGGAATATGCTTTTTTACGTTTTTTACAGGTCGGCTTTCGCGGGTTCTGCTCGGCACCACCGCGACGGCCCGCAAACAGAAAAACTGCAAATCTCGCATTTGACATAGGGTTTGGCAAACAAGTTCAAATTCAAACGACATAAACACTTTGCGTACAAATAAAATCAAAGTTCATTACGCAAAAGAGGGCATGCAAAAGGTTTGCGTCCATGTTCGGCATCATCTTGGGGGTCGATCTTCACTCCGCGCCATGGAGTCCATATTGAAGTTCATCGACGCCACCGAGTCCACCTCCGTCGCTTGTTCCAACTCCCGCACCGAAATCATCCACATTGCCATCATATGGAGCAGAGAAAACATCACCGGAACTGGAACACGGACCGGCCGAGGCTACCATTCTCCTCTTCAAGATCTCTCTCCTTGCCATATCATGCCATGTTTTGGTGAGGTCGTCCATGTCATTGCGGTTCATTGACATGATCTTGTTCTCTTCGGCGAGCAACAATGACATCGATTGTTTTCAGAGGTGCGTGCTTTTCTCTCCTCAATAGCAGCTTTGCGGAGCCCCTCTTTCTTGAGCATTTGCCATTTTTCTTGCTTCTCTTTTGCCTTCTTCTCGGCCAACTCTTTCTTGATCTCCAACGACTTCAACAACATCAACTTGTTTGATTGCACCATGGCATCAATCTTCTCCCTCAAGCTCGATGCTTCCTGCTCTCTCTTCATCTTCTCTTTAGTCTTCCTGTCGCCATCGGGCTTGTGCAAATTTCTTGGGCCATCCTCATCCTCATCTTCATCCATGTTTACAAGTGAGCCTCTCTTTGGTGGGGATTCTTTGTCGATCAACTTCCACTTCTCGCACTTTTGGAGCAACTCCCAACAATGCTCTAATTTAAAGAATCTGCCTTCCGAAGCTTCCATGTCCTTGTATCTATGTTGAGCAATCTTGTCCTACAAAATGTGAACAAAGTGATGCAATCATTTCCCATGATACATTGTGATGATGCACAACTTGAACAAAGGAAAAACAAACTCACATAATCGGACTCTACGGTGCCACTTGGAGGTGCATTGCGTACTTGCTCCAAGCAAGCTGCCCAACGGCTGCACATAGGCTTGATATTCTCCCAACGCCCTTGAAGCGACCGAAATGTGCGTGGAGTCCTATTGGGATACTTTTTCATAATGCGGAAGTATTGATCTTCGATCCTTTGCCAATATCTCTTGGCGTTTTGAGAAACACCCGTGCATGCATCAAGAGACACCGCACTCCATTTTGGATCAAAGCTTGATCTTCCAAGATCGTGTAGTTCTTTGATCTTTGGCTTTTCCCAGTCTTTGCTTGCGATTCCTCAAACGCTTCCGCTTCGATCTCCTCCAATTCATCCGCACAACCATGATCATCCACGCCGCCGTCCGTTTCATTGTAGTCAAATGGTTTGGAAGGGGCTTGATCAATGTCAACCGCGTTCGTGTCCAACAAGTTCACGAACTCGGTTGTTGCATTGTTCGAATCACCGCTATAGCGAACAATAACAAGTCACGAGCTATCGAGACTAATGGCAAAAAATGAAAGGGAATCGCCAAGACCGAAGAGGCATACCTTGCGGCCATTTCATCGAACACCTCGCTCGCGGGGGGAGCGGCACCGTTGAACGG